TAGTAAGATTCACATGTTCGGCATCAGGTAAAGAAACGTTAATAAAAAAAGCATTCAGGTAAAGAGATTCCATTTCTGATGTCTTTATTCTTCAAGTTCTACTATTTTTATCATCTAAAAATAAATGACTTTCTTGGTTAAAGTTGTATTATTTAATTTTCAGAAAGAAAAAAAAAATTGTATTATTTTCCTATGTAATGAGCTGCACAAAATGCTAAAAGAAGAGGGAAACATTATCTGTTTATAAACAAATGACGGCAATTTTCTTTTCTTTTTGTTTGGTTTTGACAACAAAGAAATTTAATTTGTGACCCAAAAAAAAAAAAATTTAATTTTCATTTTCTTGCAAAACATCAATATCTTCGATATCACTAAACTAATATCGAAACTTGGTGTGGAAGTATTTAAACATTTTATAACACTGTCTAATAGGTTCCAGTAGTAGGGTTAATACTTAATATAAGGTTCCAGCACCTTTCACTCACACCGGCCTTACTCCACCCCTCTTGTTTGAAGATATGGTATTGTGGCTACAATCCTCTTCTCAGAACAAGAAGCTTAAGGTAATTTGCAACCTGGCCTTCCAAGCTATGATTTACAGTTCGTGGAAAGAAAGGAATTCTAGACTCCACACTTCATCTTCAAAACCAGTACTTCGTATTGTCAAGGATATTCAGCTTATAAGCTATGTTTTATTGGTCAGAACCAAATTTTTGACTAGTTTGATTGGTCAAAAACTTCCGACCACTTTGTTAGTTAGAACAAAATTTTTTACCATTTTTATTGGTCAAAATTTGGCTATTTTCTGATCAAAATCCATTTGCGACCACCAATTTTTTACGAATCGATTTTGGTCAAGTATTAGTTAGAAATAGCTGTTTTTGACCAATTTTAGACCAAATTGATGGTCAAATTTGGAGAGTTTTCTTGTAGTGTTATTTTAAGAGCAAAGTTGGCTGGTTTAGACAGATCCCAGTCTCAACAATTTCACTCTTCAAGCTCGACTACTAGTGACACTTACCTTCTCACTTGGTTCAGGTTCTTCCAACCATAGGATCTCTTCTTCGGTCTACGAAATGCAATTTCACTCTTCAAGCTCGACTACTAGTGACACCTACCTTCTCACTTGGTTCAGGTTCTTCCAACCATAGGATCTCTTCTTCGGTCTACGAAATGCTTCTAATGCGTTTACATTGTCTTGTTATAAAACTATTATCACATGTTCTTTGTAATTTCCTTTATTCACTTTCATCTTTAGATTTGAGTCATCTTGTATTTTAAATGATGCCTCCTTTACAGAACCGTTTCTAGACATATAGAGACCAGAGGGGGTGCCAAAAAAAACTTTTAACTCACATACACATGACTAATGTCACAAAAAACAAAGTATCACATATACATATAATACTACAATTTGAATAGCAATCTAGAATTCTAAAACCTATTTTATTTTTTTGTTAAACAAGTTTACTCCATTCATTTAACGATCACAATACAAAGGGAGGAAATTAGACATCCTCCAGAAATGCTACAACATAATTTAGAAGCAATAAAACATAAACTAGATAGACCATCTCAAAAAATGGACAGTGAATCCAAAGCATGCCTCGGATGCGTCAAGAGGGTTTTCGTGGCAAGGCCGGAGAGTCTCAAGTTAGTCACTTTACCATGTGACTTTGAAGTTCCTGGCATTAAGCACGGGGTTCGACCACTCTATATGAGAGGGAAGAAGATACGACCATGCTCAATGAGCTGGAAGATGGTGGAGATGAACTCTTCCACCGGGGGTAAATTACAGGGTTTGAAAACGCATAAACTTTAGTCGTCTCTCAATAGAGGAGATATAATCACTAAAACCTACATGATTTGAGACTCCAGAAAACTTTGTATTTTCAATCTCAAAAGCAATTAAGATTTTTAAAAATCTGCAATTTAATATCAATGCAATTTAAAATCTGCAATTTAATACGACCAAAACCTATTCCAATCTAAATTTTCAAAACATGCTTTGTTGGAATTAATAAATTAGCCAATGATTTGAATTTTTACTTGATATATATTCTAAAGAGAAAGAAAAACAAAATTCTGATAAAAGATGAAATTAACATAACTATAATGAAAATGATATGTTATCATTTGTATATATAGAAAGAAAAGAGTAAACCTACGTTATATTGTTGAAAATGAAGTGAAAACTGAAAAGTCCCATAGAAAAATGAGAAAATTTGATTTTGGCAGCGCTATATTTTGGTTCTAATATGTTTACTATGTTTTTAGAATACTTTTGTTAGACCATGACTGACGGCGAGACAACAAAAGTATTTAGGTTATGACCAGGACTCGTCATCATTGGTTGGTGGATTTAGGTTCTGGTCCTGTGTGGTCGAGATCCTGTTTTCGCTTCTCCCTTGTTCTGGTCTTAGGTCAGATGCGTTTCTGGGCTTTAATTGGACTGTAGCCTGGTGCTTTGTTCTGTTAGGTCTTTGTCTTAGATGTATAGACCCGTTCTTTGCTCCCTCTGAATTGTCGTTTGGCTCTAGTAGTTCTAGTTCTGGACATTTGCTTATCGTGGATCGTTTGGTTCATTCTCGATCTCCTCTCTGGTTGTTTTAGTGTGTTTGCCTTCATGTCCTGGCTTTGGGATAGGATTTGTCTTTGGGCTGATTTAAAGTGTGACTCTTTCCTAGTGAAGATGTTGGTTTTGAGGTTGTCTTACCTCGACTATCAGTTTAGTTTCCTCTCTAACCTTTTTTCCAATTGTTTCTTCTATCTGCGATGCGTATCAACAGCTGCCTCAGTGCATTGGGTTGTGTATCAATAGAAGTCTCATAGGTGGGATTGGGTTCTTCTCTAGATATTGATGATCTCCACTTCATGGTTTGTCTTGGTTATTATCACATTTTCTTGGCTTTGCTTTGGTCTCGGGCTTCGGTGTGTCGTCTCGAGTGCGTTTGCAGTTCCCTCGTCTCCTTTATCCTTGCAGTGTAGGTTCCGATTGATGTTTGGGTTCCTTTATTCGGTCATTTTGTGGATGGTTAGCGTTTGGCTTTTTTGAAGTGTGGTTTGATTGGATTTTCGTGGTTCAGATTTTAGTTTGTGTTCAATAGGTTTATGTTTGGTTTTTGGATATAGTGTTTGACTCCGATGTCGTTTTTATTGACATCGGCTTTGTATTTCATACTCGTATTTCATAATCGCATCCCATCCTTGTATTCCAAACCCGAATTTCACCATGTTTAGTATAATATTTTCAAAAAAAAAAAAATATTTTTGTTAGCTTTTATTGAATTATTTATAAAATAATGGGCCACATGCAAGTGCTTCTTTATAATACACATAGGCACGGTCTTGCTCCTTTGGAGGGGAAGGAAAAGATGAATAAATGATGAATTTTTTTTTTTAAAGGTGTGTGAACTTCATATTTAAAACTTAAAAAAACAAAAAAAACTTCATATGTAAATTGACGAACGTCAAAACCTGCCGATTATTAGTTCTTACAAAAATCACCAATACATTACGTGTCAAACTGCATTCTATTGCGATATAAATATACGTATCCCTACCAAATTTATGGACACGTGGATCAACTTTAAAAATTCTGATTTTGATAATAGATTTAGAATTCAGATCCCACCAGAAAATTTGCCCAAATTATAATAGAGATCCCACCTAGGCTATACAAAAATTGCAACATCCAAAATATATTAGAAGACAATTTAAACAAAAAAAAAAAGAAAATGTATTAGAATCAGAACGCGGATTTCGAGGTTCAAGCATCTAAATTAACCCTAAACTAATTCATTTATCAATCAAATGGTCGGTTGAATTGATGTATTTGGAATGGCAGGAAATACAAAATGAGATTAAGAATGTTGAAAACTTATATTTAAAAAAAAAGAAAAAGAAAGAATGTTGAAAACTTATATCAAAGTAGTGCAATAAACCAATAACCTATAGTGTGGCCGGTGATATTTACAAATACCATTTTCTACAAACTGATCTCTCATTTGTCTTTTTCCTTCTATCTTATTTTACAGAAATTTATTGAATCAAAAATATTTTAATGTAAGAATAAAAAATAAGGTCTAATCGAAGGTGGGTTTAGGTGTTTAGGTAAGAAAGAAGCTTACTTATAGCTTTTGGTAATGTGTTCGTCAAAACTCAACCTATAAAGCCCACCCACCTACCCATATTTTCTTCTATTTTATTTCGTATGATCCTATTATTTACACCAAGTTTCCTCCGAATTTGAATAAATATGAATATCTCTCTTTGTCTGAATTTCATCATGAAGTGTTTTGTTTACTATACACACTATAATAAGAAATAAAAAAGCTATTTTTCAAGTAGTATTTATGAATTGAAACAAGTCGTCATCATCTCAACATCAATTGACTAGTCATAAGAGATTTTCATAATAAAATTGAACTACACATTAAAAAAAAAAACATTATTTTCACATTTAAAAAAAATCATTTTCAAAAATCCAAAAGATAATCCATCAAAGAAGTTGGAGATAGATAGAGAAATGCATCTCCTTTAAGAACAAAATGTTTGTTAACAGAATATTTGTCCACACGAAACAACAATATACTCTAATTAGGAGATGCAAATTGCATGTAAACACATATCACTATTTTCAGCCATTAAAATTTGATAATATCTTATTTTGTTTTTCTTCATCCAAACTTTTCTGCATGTATTACATTACTAGGATTTGTTAATTGTTTTCCATATTAAAAAATTATTTTATTTTTGTATGCAATTGTGCA